AAGCTGTACGGCGTGCACAGCCGTGCAAGTGCGCAGCCACGCACACCTCATGGCTTAGCGGGAACACTGGTTGACATAGAGTTGCTATTGCCTGCGACAGTGATGGCTGCACATACAGATGTTTGGTTGTAGTGGCTGACACTGGAGGGTCAGGCACAGTGTTGCCACAGGGGGTGATGCTGACGGCATTGGTGCTGGTTGTAACAGATGGATTGTTGCTCTGTCAAAGAGGCTAGTCCTGGTGGTTGACATTGTGTGGTTGTTATAGTGTTGCTACAGGAGGCAATGATGATGGCATTGGCAGTGAGCACAAATGTTTGGTTGTAGTGGCTGCTATTTGAAGCTGGGGCATGGTGTTGCAACAGGCAGTGAAGGTGACAGCGTTGGTTCCATTTTTAGTGGTCACACTGTTGCTATGCATTTAGGGGTCCAGTCCTGGTGGTTCACATGTGTATGGTTCTCACAGTGTCACTACAGGCAGTGCTGGTGACAGCAGTGGCACCAGGTGTAGCGCTCAGGCTGTTGCTATGCATACAGATATTCAGGAAGGTGGAGCACAGTGCTGCTACAGGCAGCAATGCTGATGGCATTGTCACTCATTGTAGCAGTCAGGTTGTTGCTATGCATATGGGCATTCAGTTGTAGTGGCTGCCATTGGAAGGGGGAGCACGGTGTTGCTACAGGTGGCAACGCTAATGGCATTGTACAGGTCAGGTTGTTGCTGCCTGTCCAGGAAGGCTGGTCACGGTGTTGACAGGGGAGGGTAAGGACCAGTGTTGCTCCTGGTGGTGACGGTGACAGCACAGCCCTTGGACTGTTGCTTTGTTCAGGTCTCCATTGGATGGTGTTTATACGGGTGGTGATGACTATAGCATTGGCTCTGGTTGTAGTGATCAAGCTGTTGTTTCAGGTATGGGTGTTACATTGTAGTTGGGGGCCAGTGTTGCTACAGGAGGTGATGCAGACAGCATCGGCACCAGCTGTGGCTGTGTCTTGACATCTGACCCCTGTGGTTGACATTAGAAGGTGGAAGCTGCTGAAGCTGGAGCCCGCAATGGCAGCAGTGTTAAGTCAGGCTATGCCAGTCTGGCTGTTGTTGAGCAGATGGGTGTTGGATCCTGGCAGTTGACACAGAGGGTGCTGCTACAGGCAGCAAGGTTGACCACATGGCTGCCTGGGGTAGCTTTCAGGCAGTGGCTGTTTGTCTGACCGTCTCATCCCAGCAGTTGGTAGGGAAACGGTGTTGGTACACACAGTGATGCCAATAACGTGGGCCCGGGTCTTAGCACTCAGTTTGTTGCTGTGTTTCTGGGGCATCAGCTGTGACTGACATCAGGAAGCGGGGGCTGGGGTGGCTACAGGCAGCAACGGTGACAGGGCAGTTGTGGGGGGTGGGTAACTGGAAGGCAGGTTGCTACAAGTAGTAGCTGACAGCTCCTCCCCAACCCCCTTGGCTCCACCCCCACCCCATGGTCCCTCCCTCTCCCTGATTGGTCCCTCCAGCTCCCGTTTGACAAGAACTGTGGCAGTGACAACATCTGCATGGACGACCTGCAAATCGCCTTCAATTTCTCGGGGTGAGTCTGTTCCCATTCCCAGAAGCCCTCCGACCCTGGATTGGCCCCAGCCCATGGTGGCTGGGGTCCTGGCCTGCAGGGGGGCACTGCTGTGGGAAGCTCACAAACCTCCTTAGGGCACTGTTGAGGGAAGCTGAGAGTTCCTCCAGGGTACTGCTGAGGAAAGCTCACAATCCCCCCTAGGGCACTGTTGGTGGAAGATCACCCCTCCGCAGGGGCATGGAGAAAGCTCACAACCCCCCTAGGGCACAGCCAAGGGATGCACACAACCCTGCCCCCGCCCCACAGCAAGCTCACAACCCCTGCAGGACACTGCTGGTGGGGGAAGCTCACAACTCCCCTTAGGACACTGCTGAGGAAAGCTCACAACCCACCCCCCCGGGCACTACTGGTAGGGGAAGCTCACAACCCCTTCCCTTCCCCCCCACAGCCTGAGCACCCTGGTGGTGGGTGACACCCGAGACCTCCAGATCATGATCCGGGTCCACAACCTCGGGGAGGACTCTTACGGTGCCACCCTGCGACTCCTCCACCCAGCGGTGCTGTCCTACCGCAAGGTCCAGGTGCTCCAGGTACCATGTGGGGGGCAGCAGGGAGTGCCAGGGGGCTGGGCTGGGACACAGGGCATGGGGCACGTGGTGGGAGGACAGTGAGTGTTATATACAGGAGAGTATGGTAATTCCCTTCTGCCCTGTGGAGAGCGGCAGGGGCCCAGCAGGAGGCAGTATGCATGTGTGTCTTCTATGTCTACAAATATGGTAGTGCCCACTGGGCAGGGGGAGGGGCAGCGCCAGCACGGGGGAAAAGGTGCATGTTGTATGCAGGGAAATACAGTAGTGCCCTTTGGCTGCGGCTAGAGGGAGAGGTGGAGCAGGGAGTGCGTGTCTATGCAGAAAACATGGGAGCTCCCTTCTGGCCAGCCAGGAGCACTGCAAAGCAGGGGGCGGGGTAGGGAGTGGGGCTATCTCTGGCCCCACCCCCTCACCCCAAGCCCCACCCCCAGGCCAGCAGGGGGGGTGTGGCTGTGCGCTGCAGCTCGCCGCTGGGGGGCCAGGCGGAACCGCAACGGAACAGCACCTGCCTCGTGGGCCCACCTATCTTCCGTGCTGGCACCCAGGTAAGCCCCGCCTCTCCCTCCCCAGGCTTAGCTCCACCCCCTCCCCCAAGCTCCACCCCCTGTGTGGCTCACCCTGTTGCTCCCTCCCAGGTCGTCTTCGCCACCACCTTGGACGTGCCTGCCACGGCTGAACTGGGCGACCACCTGCAGATCTTGGCCACCACCCACAGGTGGGTCCCAGCCCCAAGGGGCATTGGGAGGGATCTCTCTCCAGGAGGTTGGGCCTAGCATGGCAGGCCCCACCCCAACCTCACCCCCTTGGCCCCCAGTGACAACCGTGGCCCCGGGAGCGAGGGCAAGAGCCAGAGCGTGGAGCTGCCCGTCAAGTACGCCATCCACATCATCGTCACTGGGTAGGTGGGGCCAAGGGATGGGGGGGACAGGGAGGAGGAGAGCCCCGCCCCCTGGCCCCAGGGCCCCACCTTGTGGAGGGCTCCAGGTCCCACCCCACTCTGGACTCATCTGCTGCCCTCCTATTGCCCCCTGCAGAGACACAGGGAGCTACCGTATTTCCTTGTGTATAACACACACCTGTTACTCCTGCTGGGCCCACTCCCTGCTCCCTAGTGCCCCCTGCAGGACCAGAGGAACTTACCATATTTCCTCACATATAATATGCACCCTTCACACCCACTGTACCCACCCCCTGCCCCCTAGTGCCTCCTGTGGGGCCAGAGACCTACTGTATTTGCTCATATATAATATGCACCTTTCAAGCCACACAGTCCCCCTGCTGGGCCCACCCACTGCCACCTAGTGTGCCCCAGAAGGCCTGGGAGAGCTGCCATATTTTCTCATGTATAACTCGCACCATTTACGCTCACTGGGCCTGCCCCCTGGTGCCCTCTGCAAGGCCAGAGGTAGCTACCAAATTTACTCATATATGACACACACCTTTTCCCCCACATGGCACCCCCTGCTGAGACCACCCTAATGCCCTCTGCAAGGCCAGTGGGAACAACCTTATTTCCTCATGTATAGCACAAACCTTTCCCACCCCGCATGATGCTTCCTGCTTGGCCCCTGCCCCATGGCACCCTCCCCTAGTGCCCCCTGCAAGACAAGTGGGAATTAATGTATTTTCTTAGGTATAACTTACACCTCCCCACACAGAGGCCCCTGCTGGGTCCTTTCCCTGCCCACTAGTGCTTCCTACAATGCACTAGGGGAAATTACCTTATTTTTTTGCATATAACATATACCTTTCCCCACCCCCACAGGGTGCTCCATCCTGGGACCCTTCCTCACTGGACCCAATCCTCTCCCCCTAGTACCCCATGCAAGGCAGAAGGAAACTACCATAATTTGTCATATATAATATGAACCCCTTCCCAATGGCACCCCCAGCTAGACCATTGGGTGCCCCGTAAGGCAAAAGGGACCTACCATAATTTCTTGTGTATAACATGCACCTTCCCCCCCCACCACAGTATTGCCCCCTGGTCAGTCCCTACCCATGTTACCCCCTGCTAGACACCTCCAGCCTCTCCCCCATCCATGTTTTTCTTACCCCCAGTAGTGAGACTTCAACCAAGTATGTGAATATCTCCAGCAATGAGGAGGGGGCCAGCAGGGTGGTGACTCACAGGTACCAGGTGAGTCCTGGATGCCTGGGTTCTTTGGGAGGGAGGTTGGGAGGTGAGAGCATGCTGGGAACCTGGACATCTGGGTTCTCTGAGACAATGGGGAGTTGTGGTGAGACCTGGGGTGTGCAAGTCCAGACACCCAGGTTCTCTGGGACAAGGGGGCTGGCGGTGAGACCTGGGGGGCTGGGAGCCGGGACACCTGGGTTCTCTGGGAGGTGGGTGGGAGCTGGGAAGTGGCAGCCCAGTTGCCTGGGGTCTTTGCAAGGGGAGACAAAGCTGGGGGAGAGAACTGGGGGTCTGGGAGCCTGGGTTCCCTAGGAAGGGGGTGGTGGCTGGCGGTGATAGCAGGGGGAACAAGGCACCCAGACACCTGGGTTCCCCCTCCCATATCCTCCCTCTTCTCCCCCACCAGGTCCAGAACCTCCGCCAGCGCAGCCCCCCTGTGTGGGTGACCTTCGAGTTCCCCGTGGCCATGAATGGGGCCCCCCTGTGGGTCGCTGAGGTCATCCCCTCCCAGGTACCGCCCACTCCTTTCCCACCTCTTGTCCTGGCCAGGATCCAGCCCAGATCAGGGCCTCTGGCAGAGACAGACCCCAGCCTCCTCCACACCCACTGGGTGCAGCCAGGATGTGGCCAGCTCTGGGGTGGAGCTGAAGGGGAATGGCCCAAGGGAATGAGGCACCAGGGGAGCTGGAGGACCAAACCTGTGCCACCACTTCCCCTCTTCCACTCCCAGCCAATCAACTGCTCTGACCTGTCTGGGATGCCTGGGACCAAGGACGTGAGAAAGGAGATGGAGAAGAGCCCCCTGCTGGTGAGTGTTGGCCACTGCAGGCCCTGTCCTTGAGAACCCAGCCATCCAGGTTCCCAGCCCTCCCTGCTCCCACCCCCAAGCCCCCTTCCCCTGCCAGAGAACCCAGATGTGCAGGCTCCCCCCACTCACGCTGTCCCATGATGTCCCAGAGTTGTGCTGTGGCCACCTGCCGGCGGGTGCGGTGTGAGGTCCCAGCCCTGCACATGGAGCAGCCCCTGGAGTTCATCCTGACCGGCAACGTGACCTTTGGTTGGTTCTCCCAGGTATGTCACCCCACCCCCTTCCTTGGCCCTGCCCCCTCCCCTCCCCAGGGGCCTGGATTCTTGGGTTCCCAGGTGCCCCACCCCAGAGGCGGACACAGATCCAGTCCTTGTTTTACTAGCCCCGGATTCACATGAGCCCTGAGATCTCTTGGCCAATCAAGGCTCAAGGCTCCTGATAGATCCCAGCCAATCACAGCACAGAAGCCCTGATGCATCCCTGCCAATTGAGAGCCAGGATTCCTGGAGCATCCCAGTCAATCACCACCCTTGATGCATCCAAGCCTATCAGGATAGATAGACCCCTGATAAATCCAAGCCAATCACAGCACAGGAGCCCTGACACAAGCTCACCCAGTAATGACCAGCGACCCCTGACATGTGCCAGCCAATCATGACCACAGTCCTCAGTGTAGTCCATCCAATGGTGACCTCCTGGTGCATCCCAACCAATCACAACGCAGGACCCCAAATACATTACACCTGGCCCCCAACAAGCCCTACCCAATCAGTATCCAGAACATGTCCCCCAAGCTACCCCTGTCCCAGCCAATCATGACCACTGACCTGAGTCACAACCCTTGACACAATCCCACCCAATCATGACCAATTACCACAGACACCTCCAGGCCAATCCCAGCCCAAGACATCACAGTCAATTGCCTGCCCTGTCCCATCCAATCACAACCCCTGCCCCACTTCATCCACTCACAACCCTTGACCAGGACACAGCCACTCCCAATCACCGGCCCATCCCAGCCAATCACAATGAAGGATTCCTGGCCTATCCCAGCCAATGACCCCTGACACAGCCCAGCCAATCACCATGCAGGTCCCCATCCCCCACATCTCACTCAATGACAGCTCCTGACCCCCAACCCATGCCACGCAATGGCCCACGGCCCCTGACACATGCCAGCTTATCATGCCCTGGGACCTCTGACTCATCCCATCCGGGGGTGAGGAGGGAAGGTTCTGGCTCCCAGGGATCCCATGCAAATGAGAGGTGTAGGCCCCACCCCAGAAGCAGCACAGGGCAGGGCTTAGGCTCACGCATGCATCTGACAGACGGGGCTGGACAAGGTGACACTGGCGAGCGCGGCCGAGGTGGGCGCAGACCCAAGGCGCTTCCACCAGCAGGGAGCGGCGCAGTTCCAGGTAGGAGGCCCAGATGCTTGAGTTCTTTGGGGTCGGGGGGAGGTGGGAGCAGGGGATTCTGGGAGCCCAGACACCTGGGCTCTCTGCGGGGGTGGGGAGGGGGCTGAGTCCCTGACTCCCCCACCGGATGTCTGGGTCCCCTAGGTGCAGACAGTGCTGGAGCGCATCGGCACCTACAACTATCTGCCCGTCATCCTGGGCAGCTCCATCGGGGGCCTCATCCTATTGGCTGTCATAACTGCCGCTCTCTACAAGGTGAGGACAGGGGGCGGGGCTATGCCAAGGGGGTGGGGTTTTCCTGGGGACTGGGGCAAAGCTAGGACAGGGGAGAGGTGACACCTCTTGGGGCTCTTTGAGGAGGGGGAGGTGGCTATGCCAAGGGGGCTCCCAGGGGTGTGGCTTGTTGGGGAAAGGGGTGGGGCTATATTTGGGGTGAAGTCAAGTGGGAAAGGGGCAGGGCTTTATAGAGGGGGGCTTTTGGGCAGGGGGCAGGGTCTCACTAGGGGATGGGAGCAGAGAGGAGGTGGGGCTTTGGGTGAGGGTGGAGCCTATCAGGGAAGGGCCTCCTTGTGAACGTGGCTCCAGGGGAAGATGGGCGAGGGCTAATGGGTCTGGAGGAGGGCTTTGGTGGGCAGGGGTGTTCTCCTGGCTGTGGGTAGCCCCAGGGGGCATGGCCGGCTGGGGGCAGGGGGTGGGGCTTAGCTGGTGGGCGGGCGTTATACATGAAGAAATAACA